TTGGTTGGCTTTTGGTGTTTTGAAATAGCGTCTCACTCTGTAGGTCAAGCTGGCCTTGAACTCTTTATCTAGCCAATGGCCAAATGTAAACTCAAGTCCATCCTCCTGCCTCATCCTCGTGAATGCTGTGATCACAGGTACACACCACCACTCCAGACTTCAGCTAAATAAGCAATCAGATCTTTAAATACTAATTTGGAAAGTTAATGTTTTGTAAGGTTAAAAAAAAAAAAAAACCTTCCATTATATGCTTAAGAAAACCATTGCTCCAATAATGTGATTTTTCAATGTGAAATTTGATTTGCTTTATTAAACAGATTTAGACTTTTCAGGACAGTAAATACGTTGACCAGTATTATAAAGGTTAATCAGTCACTGCATGTGGTTCAACAAAGATGTTAACTTTTTCTCTCAGATATATTTTATCCCCCTAAGGCATACCCAGTATTAGAAAAAAATCATCCAGGATAATGTTGAGCTAATTAATTTCCCAAAGAATTACCCTATTTGTCTCTAGTATGCCAGATACATGTAATTCAGGGAAAAGTATCTCTTATTTTATGTCTGGTTGAAATCTGTATTGTTAGATTATACAGTATTTCAATTTTCTAAGACTGCCATAGCAAAACATCACAAACTGGGTGGCTTACCACTACAGAAATTATTTCATCGTTCTGGAGGATATAAGTTTGAAGTCAGGGTGTAGGCAGGGCCTGCCTTTGCTAAAGGACCTAGGAAAAAATCCTTGCTTCTGGGTGTTCTTTGACTTAGAGACACCATTCCTCCAGTTTTATTTCCAACTTCCCATCAAGTTCTTCTCAACTTCACATTCTCTTCTGTGTTTCTGCTTCCCAATGTCCCTTTCCTCTCTGTACTTAAAAAAACACTAGGACAGAGGGCTTAAGGTTAACCCTAACCCAGCATGACTTCATCGCAACTTGATTATGTTTGCAAAGATCTGATTTGTAAATAGTTTTCAAAGTTATTTCAGTTACTTGGGTTCTACATTTAACCACTTATCAGTTTAAATTATAGGATGAGCAAAAAGTTGCATTTTTTGTTAATTTTTATAACATAATAAAACAGGAAATATAACAAGGACAATTTTATCAGATTTATTCATTACAAGAATCCACTGGCATAAATAATACCTGCCCAAGTGCTGCTTGGATAATTACTGCTATGTAAACATGCTGCCTGAGTGACAGGTAAAAGGTTAAGTGATTAAAAGTTTTTAGGACAGTCAAGCATTTTGGGTTCTGGTCTTGCCTATCTATGCCATCATGTAAATGATATTAATTTTATGTGCCACATTAGTTTCTATAAATAAAACATGGGAAATCATATAGTCCTCCCCCCCTTTTTTTTTCCTGGTACTGGGGATTGAGCTCAGGACCCTGCACTTACCAGACAGGCACTTATTCTACTGAGTTATCTCCCCAGCCCATGTAGTCTCATTTTAAACAGAGGAAAGCCAGTCTATGTTAGTGGATGAAATTAACTGCTATAAGTTGCATCAGGCACAATTTAACGTCTAAAATCTTGAGTTTTATCCTTTTCCTAAGTACTGCTGTAAATATCTGTTCCCTGGACAGCTCCTGAAGTTTATTACCATCTGTCTTTCAGGGTTTCCTGGGAGATACATAGTAACACTGCATGTGCTCATTTTAGATATGTTAATTACCGCTTCTTTACTTTCCTTTTGTTGTTTTTTGTTTGTTTGTTTGTGGGCTTGGAGGCGGTAGAGCTGGGAATTGAATCCATAGCCTCTCTACCAGTAAGCCACATCTCCAGGCTGACTGTACTGTACTGTTATATTTTAAGACTGGGTCTTGCCAAGGTGTCTGGGTTGGCCTTAAACTTATGATCCTTCTGCTTCAGACTCTCAAGTAGTGGCTGAAATTACAAATACACATGTCCAGCTCTATTTATGAGGGAGCACCCCCCAAGTCACTGGTAAAAAAGGCTTCCTTCCTGTGAATAGATAAATGTTATCTCTATAGCACATAAGAATTTTTATTGTACTTTAGAATATAATTCCTTAGATTAGTTGAGGTTAAATACAAATTAACAAATGGCAGTATAATCTTAGGGCTTGATTTTTAAAAAATCAAAACTAGCACTTACAAAATTAAATTGGATTGTTGCACAGTGTTATTAAATAAGCACTCCTACAAAGCATGGTATTGAGTATCACTGGTAAAAAGAGAATGCTGCTTTGTTGAACTTCATTTACATATTAATTGGTACTTCTTTGTTTGGGTGGCAACAATAAGCTTTGGTAGTAGTTAGCATGAATCATTTTGCACCAGTGTCCAGTTTAAATCAGCTGTTAACCTTTCTTATAAGCATTTTTTGCTTCTTTAGTTATTTATTATAATAAAATGTATTTTAAATATTTACCTAAATTTCATCAGAATGATTTTATGGATTTGGAATATATTTTAGGGGTTTATACTTCTTAAAATATTGACTATATCTTAAAAATATTTTAGGTGCATTAAATAGTCAAATGCATGTCTAAAATGATTTTTAAAATCTGTATTAGAACATTGTTTGACCTGTATATTTGCCTGAATTAGTAATTCAGTATAAAAAACATCGAGGACAAAATAGCAGTGCTCAGCATTGTTACCTATTAATATCAAATATTAAGCCCGAAAAACAACCATATCTTATTGACTTTGTGAAACTTTTTAGGTCTTAACTCAAAATAGCAAAATAAAATAGTTCATTCTTGAGTGTTTCTATTAAATTGCCTTTTTCTTAATGTGTACAGCTTTCAATTTTATGTGCTGCCTTTTATACTTGATCATGTTAACAGTAACTATTTGTCACCAGAAATTCTGCCATGTGAGAGGCAATAGTTTATCATTATGAGATAGAAGAACATTGAGAGATTAGCCAGCATATCCAGCCTTCAACCTACCAGTAATGTCCACTTGTCTAAAACTTTGTATGTCAGACCAGGCCTTTTTAGCTGGCCATACTGAAGACGTGTACTACAAATAAAAGTTACTGAGGGTTTTTTTTGTTTTTTGTTCGTTTAAGTTATTACTCTAATGCTTATATTTCAAATTTTTCATATCTTTTGGAAAATACCTTTTTATTACCCACTTTAAGTTGGGAATTATGTACAGATTTTTCTTTTACTTAATACAACTGAGACTTTTTCTAAAACTAGATATCTACTGGAAAGTATGGTAAATTTTTAATAAGATAAATACACATAGTAAAAGCTAAATATTAAATAGACATTGCATTTTATCTTTAAAATATTTGAACATTAAGATACTTTAAGGAAGTTATTTTTATAAATGGAGACATTAAGAAATTGTTACTTTTCACAGGGCTTGTGTGTAGCTGATTTTTATCATTTGAAGCAAAAAAGGGAAAAGGGACTGTGTTGATCTTTAAGGAATTCCTGCTAATAATATAAAATCATTAGAGTAGTAATATTTTGTAACTACCTTTAATATTTTATGGTTATATTTTGTAAGTATCTTCTAAGGTTTTCTTAGATGTATAAAAGCTCTTCCTTTTTAGTAGCTAGAAAAACATTTAAAATTTTATTGAACTATCATTTGTCATTCATACTTCTGTTTATTGAAGCTACCTTGTGTTGGTAATTAGTAGCAAAGGATGATTTAGTACTTTTAAAATATAGAGCTTCTCTCTGGCTTATGTAGCTACTAGTAGAAAATGTGGTTGAATTTCATAAATATATATTCCTAGCTTTACTCAGTATGTTAACATGTATATACTGACAGAGTTCTTCTTGACACTAACATGAATTCTGTAGTAGAACACAACAGGCTTTGTATAAACCTCTTTGGGGAAGAGAAAAATGAGGCCCAGAGATAAAAAATTTTGCCCTAGGGCAGTGGTGGCAAGAACCCTGAGAACCTATGGCATGCATGCTACAGTTGGCTTTTTGGGTTTTTTTGTTGTTTTATGTATTTAGTACAGGGTCTACAGGGTCTTGCTACACAAATTGGACTCGTAGTGATCCTCCTGTTTTCAGCTTCCCAAGCGCTGGGATAACAGGGATGCACCACCACACCCAGTCTCAGTGGCAGTCTCAGCATGTCCCGGGGGCAGGACCAGCATGGCAGGCGCAGATTGAACCCCGGTCCCTGCGTCTGCCTAAGTGGGACTTTTTGTTATTATTGAAAGCTATAAAGGTTCACCATAACTGCTCTAGGATCATACAAATAGTTAAGCTTCCTTTCTACCATATTGCATACTCATGTATATTTATCTTCCTTATTATCATAATAACCTACAAGGGTAATTACTATGGAGCTCAGAAACCTAAGACCAAATTCTGCACTTAAAAAATTTAAAGACTTCATCTATGTGCCAGTGCTAATTCCTGTGATAGGCAACTTTTGTCATTCATTTCTTTTGAGTAATGTGCAGCTTAAGAAACTACATAATCCTGCTTGTTACAAGATATACTCAAAATTTTTTTTGTATTTTAGGAAAGGGTCTACCAGGTGTTCAGGGGTCACTACTAGATCAGATAGTGATTCACCTGTTTACAGCCTCCTAAGAGCTGGATTACAGGCGCGTGCCCTCAGTATTTATTTATTTATTCATTTATTTATTTATTTATTTATTTATTTATTTCGGCCAGCTCAGCCTGCCTTAAGGGCAGGGATGGATCTGGTGCAGTTGTGGAGCTGGGGATTGAACCGCGGTCCTCTGCACCTGACTGAATTTGCCCAAGCAGGCGCTTTAAACAGCTGAGCTAACCCACAAGCCCAGATGCACTCATTTTAACATTGCTGCTTTCGCTTTGTTTTAATGTGGAAAACTTGACTGCATGTTAATATAATAATGCAGAAAGAAGAAAAATACTTTTTGAAAGAGTGGAATTTTTTGACATTTAGAATTATTGTGAAGAAAAAAATTAAATGAATGTCATTTTTATCCTTAAATAAAATGGGTATATTGTTTTGTGCAAAACTTTTTACTTTGTCCTTTTGGTTTTATAGCAGTTAGAGGAAAAAAGTGAAGATCAAGAAGACAAGGAATGTTTGAAGCAAGCAATAACAGCTTTGCTTAATGTTCAAAGTGGTATGGAAAAAATATGTTCTAAAAGTCTTGCAAAACGAAGACTGAGGTGAATATTCTCACTTTTTAAAACATCCTTCTTACTCTGACTATAGTGGTATAAATTCAGGGAACCCAGTTCCTGCCTCAGTAAACAATGAAGAAAATAGTTCTAGTGACAAGCTTGGTCTTTCAGAGGAAGTGACATCAAAGCCAAGAGAATTTGTTATTGTTTGAAAAACCTTTCATATTTGTGCATTTTCCTTGCATACTCCCAGACAAGATCTCCTGAGAATCAGCTGGTAAGCTAAAGAAGAGATAGAGCAAAATGTATTCAGTAGATTTATGTCAGCTCATTGTTCTGTCAAAGTAAAATTAGTAGTGTCCTTTATTTTAGGGATTATATAACTTGAGGCATTAATTCAGATAACCTCGCTTCCACTTTCTAATTAGTGCTTCTTTTTAGCTTTGGGTCTTGTCCATTTAAACATCTAAATAATTTACTTTAATCTCTTAAACTACTTTTTCCCCCAGCATATTGGGCTACTTTTTAATATTTGTCATTCTAAATAGTTAGTAGCCAAGGTAGAAATAATCATTCTGTAGCTTAATTTATGGGGTTGAATTTTGTCAGTAGTCATTGTTCTTTTTAGAGCACTGAAAAAAATTCTGTTGCTTTAATTTCCAAAATTGTGTAATACTAATACTTGGGGAATTAGTGAATACCTTATCAATGTGACTTTAAAATGTACTTTTACCCTATCCCTTGTTTACATGAACTCTAGATCTCTTGTCATCTGTGTACTAATAATGTCTTTTCCTTTATTCCCAGTGAATCTGCATGTCGGTTTTATAGTCAGCAAATGAAGGGGAAACAACTAGCAATCAAAAAAATGAACGAGATTCAGAAGAATATTGATGGTTGGGAGGGAAAAGATATCGGACAGTGTTGCAATGAGTTTATAATGGAAGGGACTCTTACACGTGTAGGAGCCAAGCATGAGAGACACATATTTCTTTTTGATGGCTTAATGATTTGCTGTAAATCAAATCATGGGCAGCCAAGACTTCCTGGTGCTAGCAATGCAGAATATCGTCTTAAAGAAAAGTTTTTTATGCGAAAGGTACAAATTAATGATAAAGATGACACCAATGAATACAAACATGCTTTTGAAATAATTCTAAAAGATGAAAATAGTGTTATATTTTCTGCCAAGTCAGCTGAAGAGAAAAACAACTGGATGGCAGCACTGATATCTTTACAGTACCGGAGCACACTGGAGAGGATGCTTGATGTCACAATGCTGCAGGAGGAGAAGGAGGAGCAGATGAGGCTGCCCAGTGCTGAGGTGTATAGGTTTGCAGAGCCGGATTCGGAAGAGAATATTATATTTGAAGAGAACATGCAGCCCAAAGCTGGGATTCCAATTATCAAAGCAGGAACTGTTGTTAAACTTATAGAGAGGCTAACATACCATATGTATGCAGGTAAGAAACAGGAAGTTGCCTACTATTCTGTTTTCCCACTTCGGGCTGATTGTCTTTGCTTCTTTGGCAGTTGTTTCTAAACTAGAAAAAATGAATTAGCAGCCATAGCTGCTGTATTATTCAAGTTCATTTTCTATTATTAAAACTACTATTTTATAGTTCTTTAGCTATTTTACACTTTTCATTATTTCAAAGCATTCAATTTGAATTACTGATAAGAAAGTGATCTCATATGGATAAATTTCCCAGTTAAGAAAACAGCAGAAATAAAACTGTAATCAGTAATAAATCATTGGAGTCCAGAAAGTTTTTCATTCCTTTGTCTCTTTTTTTCCCTTCTCTTTCCATTATTGAAATTATAATGCAAAAACCTAAACATGCATCCATAAGCAGAATTGTGCTGGTAGGTTTAAGGAAAAAAAAAAAAAAGAAAAAAATATGTATGTGTGTGTGTGTATGTGTGTGTATACATACATATATATATGAAA